AATAGCTTCCTTTCATAAGCCTCTTTATCTACAACACAAGCACAACTGATAACACATCCCCCAAATAGGGTGACAATTCCGTTGACATTGGACCACATCCATGGACTCTTCTGTGACTAATGGAATATTTCTGCACTGTGTGAGAAAAACGTTAGTAGCAACCCTTTAGTGAAAAAGTATGCACCTCACATTCCTTTGTGGAGTGATTTGCTTTTCCCTACAGAAGCACACCTGACTGCTTGAAGGCAAATCAAACATTCAATAATACTAAAACCCTACAAGATCCCTTGCTCAGTTTGAAAAAAAAAGAGAAGAGGAAGGAGCAGGGGGACTTCCCTGGTGGTCTAGTGGTTAAGAATCCACCTGCCAATGCAGGGGACACAGGTTCAATCCTTGGTCTGGAAAGATCCCACAAACCTCGGAGCAACTAGGCCCACGCACTACAACTTCTAAGCCTGTGTGCTGCAACTACTGAAGCCTGTGCGCCTATAGCCTGTGTTCCGCAGCAAGAGAAGATGCTTTTCAATGAGAAGCCCATGCACTACAACCAGGAAGTAGCCCCTGCTCACTTCAGGAATAACAGGAAAAAAAAGGAGCGGGGAGAAGAAGCAGCTTGTTGACGATTTTAAGCCACACAGGAAGCTAAAGAAACAAACCTGAAGATAACATTGCCACTGCAAGGACATTGAACGCTTGATGTAAAGCTACCAGAACCCCCACAACATGGAACCCTGTTGAGCACAGCGAATTTATCCTGTCTCGCTCTGCTCTTTCCTCAAGTTCAGAGAAAACAGCAGGCATTCAGGAATGACGAGTCAGGAAAGGAAGGGCTGCCAGTGCGACTTGTCTACTGTGAGCCCCTACCAATGCTGAAGGGAGCTGGTCCCTTTTGTCCCGCTTATTGTCACATGAAAGATGAGAAACAGCTAATGACATGCAGAACACTCACATTAAAAAACAGACACATCTGGGTAAGGCACTATGTTCCTGAGAACCAGACGGCCCCGCGTTGTCTCTGAATATAGAGGTGATGGTCGAGATGTTGTCCCTGGAGACCAACAGCTGGTGGCAAGTCCCATCTCTGCCACTTACTGTGGTATGTTCACAGCTGCCCTTATGCATCTCATTTGGAAAATAGAGATGACAATAATAGTATCTACCTCATGGGAGTTTTGGGAGGATTAAATGAATCCATATTACATAGAATGATGCCCAGCAAAGTAAGTACTCATCAAATGCTTATTATTTTAAGATATTATTATTCAAGGCTACCATTTCAGCCTCACGTGGCTGAAGTTTGTCCTATTGGCAACTAAATGGGCAGTAGGCTGCAAGTATTTGGTATGCTGCCACCACACTCCTCTTTAAGAAAGAAAAAACCACAAGTTTTCTCCTTCTGCCATTGTCTTTAACTGGCCCAAGTGCACTGCAAAATGAGATGTTAGTGACCACTGACTCAAATGCAGAGTCACTGCTCTGAAATGTGGAAGAAGCTGACACAAACTAAAAAAAGAAAAAAAGCATGACATATGCCAAGTCAAAAATTGGAGTGGTGACTCACAATTATATTAGCAATTGATGTTCTACAAAGATCTCAAGGCAATTAAATGAAGAGAATACTGCTTTTCAACAAGTGGTTATGGAACACTGGATGTCAACATAGAAAAAAATGGGACAACACTTCTTTAGTATCCCATATGAAAATTATCTCATAGTAGATCATAAACCCACATGCAAGAGGTAAAAACTATTAAATGTTTAGGGAAAAAAAACAAAACAAAATATTTGTAACATTAGGTTAGGCCAAGATTTCTTAAACAATACATCAAAAGCATAAACTCTAAGAGAAAAATGTTGATCAATTGGACTTTATCAATAGTAAATATTGTTGCTGTTAAATATAGCTAAATAAAGCCCAATAGCCCAATTTAAAAATTGGGCGAATTATTTGAAACAGACATTTCACAAAAGGAGTTATAGGAGTGGTCAAATAAACACACAGAATAATATTCAACATCACTAGACATCAGAGAAATGCAGGTTTAAACCATAATGAGACAACATCACATATACACTAAAGTAAAGCTAAAAAGATTGGTGGTATCAAACTTGGGCAAGGATGTGGAAAAGGGGCATCCTCATGCAATGCTGATAAGAATGAAAATATTACAGCTACCTTGAAACACTGTACAACAGTGTTTCACATACATTTACCACATGACCCATACAAAGCTACACATACATTTACCAGATGACCCACCAAGTCCAGCCATAGTTATGTACCCAAGAGAAATGAAAACATACATCCACATTAAAACTTGAATGTCCATAGCAGCATTATTTGTAATAGCCAAAAACTAGAAGCAACAAATATCCACCAACTGGTGAATAAATTGTGATATATGCTTACCATGGAATACTACTCAGCAATTTAAGAAACAAATTATTAATACAACCAATAACATGGATGAAACTCAAAAGTACTATACTAAATGAAAGAAAACAACTATCAAGATTGCATATGCTATCATTCCATTTATATGAAATTTTAGATAAAGCGAAACTATAGTGACCGAAGGCAGGTAAGTGTTTGCCATGACCAAGGGGGAGAGGAGGGCTTCAAGTTCAGACTTTTAGGATGAGGAAGCTGTCTGTTGATTCTGATGCTGGTTACACAATTGGATACAATTAACACAATTTTCAAACTGTGCCCTTAAAACATGTGAATTTAATACAAACGAGCAAGCAAAGATAACTTCTTTGGGCACATGAGAAGAATACATAGAATCTATCTGTAAGGTGCAAAGTACACATACATACACATGCTTTATTGCTGATAATACCAATTCTTCCTTGAGTTTTCATCAGACAAGGTCTTTAAAGAGTTATATTGTTTTAATCTATAAACAATAAATGCTGGAGAGGGTGTGGAGAAAATGGAACCCTCTTTCACTGTTGGTGGGAATATCAAATGATACAACTACTATGGAGGAGCATATGGTTGAAGCATATGGAGATTCCTTAATAAACTAGGAATAAAACTACCCAACAATCCCACTACTGGGCATATACACTGAAGAAACCATAATGGAGAAAGACACATGTACCGCAGTGTTCACTGCAACACTATTTCCAACAGCTAAGACATGGAAGCAACCTGTGGATGACCATCAGCAGATGAATGGATAAAGAAGCTGTGGTACATATGTATGATGGAATGTTACACAGCCATAAAAAGAACACATTTGAGTCAGTTTTAATGTGGTAGATAAACCTAGAGCCTATTATACAGAGTGAAGTAAGTCAGAAAGAGAAAAAAATAATGTATATTAACACATATATATGGAATCTAGAAAGATGGTACTGATGAGCCTATTTGCAGGGCAGGAATGGAGATGCAGACATAGAGAAGACTTGTGGACACAGTGGGGGAAGGAGAAGATGGGGCGAATGGAGAGCAGCATGGAAACATATACACTACCAGATGTAAAATAACCAATGGGAACCAGCTCAAACCTGGTGCTCTGTGATGACCTAGTTGGGTGGGAGGGAGGTTCAAGAGGGAAGGAACATATGTACACTGATGGCAGATTCATGCTGCTGTGTGGCAGGAACCAACACAATATTGTAAAGCAATTATCCTTCAATTAAAAATAAATAAGTTTTTTAAAGAAGAGTTGCTTTGTTCTTAAAAAATGATGAGCAGGCAACACCTTTGGCTGCCATTCGGAAAGTTGCAAACTAGAAGAAGTCAAGGTGAAAACTTTATAAAGTAGGAAACTTCCACAGAGACAGCTCTTTGTTCTTCACAAATATTTGATTTTAAGCAACCTAGATGCCCATCAGCAGACGAATGGATGAGGAAGCTGTGGTACATATACACCATGGAATATTACTCAGCCATTAAAAAGAATTCATTTGAATCAGTTCTAATGAGATGGATGAAACTGGAGCCCATTATACAGAGCGAAGTAAGCCAGAAAGATAAAGACCATTACAGTATACTAACACATAAATATGGAATTTAGAAAGATGGTAATGATAACCCTATATGCAAAACAGAAAAAGAGACTCAGATGTATAGAACAGACTTGTGGACTCTGTGGGAGAAGGCAAGGGTGGGATGTTTCAAGAGAACAGCATCGAAACATGTATATTATCTAGGGTGAAACAGATCACCAGCCCAGGTTGGATGCATGAGACAAGTGCCCGCGCCTGGTGCACTGGGAAGACCCAGAGGGATCAGGTAGAGAGGGAGGTGGGAGGGGGGACTGGGATGGGGAATACATGTAAATCCATGGCTGATTCATTTCAATGTATGACAAAAACCACTGCAATGTTGTAAAGTAATTAGCCTCCAACTAATAAAAATAAATGGAAAAAAAAAAAAAAAGATTAACACTACAGCCAATAGAGGAATCTGTCATCCCAGAGTCAGGAAAATGGGAATACTCCCCCACACAACCAAACCAATGTTTTAATAAAATCTGTTTATAAAGAAAGAAGCAAACATGTTTAAAAAAAGAAAAAAAGAAAAACCTGAACTCACAGTTGAATTCACTCATCCCACATAAAAAGCAAATAAAGGGCTTCTCTGGGGGACTCAGTGGTAAAGAATCCACCTGCCAATGCTGGAGACAGGAGTTCTATCCCCGGTCCAGGAAGATCCCACGCACCATGCAGCAGCTAAGCCCGTGGGCCACAACTATTGAGCCTGTGCTGTAGAACCCATTCGCTGCGACTACTGAAGCCGGGGTCCCCTAAAGCCCATGCTCTGCAAGAAGAGAAGCCACCGCAATGAGAAGCCAATGCACCACATCTAGAGAGGAGCACCCACTCACCGCAACTAGAGAAAGCCAGCATGCAGCAATGAAGACCCAGTGCAGTCAAAAATAAATAAATAAATAAATAAATTTTTTTTTTAAGCAAATAGAGTAGAAAATTTAGGTGTGGGTTCTGGGTTTCAGCTTGGGCTCCTGAAGTAAGAGCTGGGGACTCACCTCCGTGTTTCCATCTTTGAAGCCCTCGCTGTAAGTGCTGTCCGGGGTGCTCCGCTGGTCGTCCTTGAGGTAGGTGCTATGGCCGGCCATGGACGGCACGCCGTACTGACTCTGTTCAAAGATAACCACGCGTTGCTCCTCCCCTTCTCCCCGGGGATAGTGCACCGTTGGGGTCATGAAAACCGGTGTGAAATCTTCAGCCTTCACCACTGTGATTCCTGACACGGGGATGATGGCTGGGCTCTCGGGGACGTTCGTGCTGTACTGCTCCCGCTTGGAATTCTCCAGGTGGTCTTGATTTAGGGAAAGGTTCACTGGAACAGTCTTCAGGACCTGCACTCGATTTTCTCCTCCACTCAAATTACTCTGGGCTTCACTTGTGCCAAGACAGTTTCTGTGTATTGAAACCCACCCCCCAGCAACAGGATAGAATTAGAAAAATCATCATTCTGCAACTCCTAAAACTGATGCAAGCAAGAATCAGTGGATGCTAATGCATTAGGGGGAAAAAAATTGATGGTGAACTTTACGATGGAATGCAATGGATCTTTCCATCACTAGAAGTAGGACAACCACCCCCATGTACCTTCTGGTAGCATGCAATCAGCCCCACCTAGAAAATGCTCAACAAAAAACAAATGTTGACTCTAAATCAAACCAAGCTTTATATCTAGCTTCCAGTTCTTAGGATATATGGGAGCTGGAAGAATAATTTAAACAACACTGAAAAGAAACAATCATACAAACCAGAATATCACACATCTTACTGACCTGGTTTCCTCAATAAGTCAGAGGCATGAAAAAAGAAAGAAAGGTGGGAGACTTGTTCTAGGTTAAGAGATTTAAAAGGCATGACAACCAAATAGGACGAGCAGATCTTGTTTGGATCCCGATCTAAAAAGCCAAAGAGATATTTATGAGGCAATGGGATTTTTGAGGCGATCAAATATGAACTGAAAGTTAACTGATGTTAAGGAAGTATTATTCATTCACTTCGATGTAATAATGATTTTGAGGTTATGTAATAAAGAGTCCTTGTTTATTTAGAGATCCATATCAAATGGATATGGTACTCTAAATATGTCATGTTACAGGTGAAATGACATAAAGTAAGCCAAGAACTTACTTTAAATACTACTGCAATAAAATTTTTTAAAAAAAGAAAGAAAGAAAGAAAAGAAGGGAAAGAAAGAAATGGTGAAGAATAAATAGGTGTAAGAAAAAATTATCAAGTACTGAATCTGGAGGATGGAATGGGTCTTTGGGGGTTCATTATATCACCATCTTTATTTATGAATATGTTTGAAAGCTTTCAAAAGAAAAAAATTTAAATAGTCTTTTTTAAAAACACAGGGATTTGGTAGAAACCAATACAATACTGGTTTTGTGGTACTGATAAATACTGGTAAAGCAATTATCTTTCAATTAAAAATAAATTTTAAAAATTCACAGTAATTAAAAAAATAGGGGCAGAACAATAGGTTGAAGGAGAAGATTGGGAAGAATAGTTTTCACTGTTTTGCAGGCTAAACCCTTTGCAGATAAAAATAAGATAATGAGAGCCTGTCATTAAAATATTTTCACTAAACTGAGAAAAACCATGAGCTCATTGATATCCTTAGCATTGAATTACTATCAGGACTTAAGGAAGTGGTATAACTGCGCTTATGTAAGACAAGAGCTGTCAGATCTCATACCTCCTGACTGGTACAAAGAGAAAGGAAAGGATTTAGAAAATTAATTCTTACCAGGATAGGATGAACTGTTTGCATCTATACTGCAGGATTTTGAGTGAGAGCAGAAGGAAAGAGGAACTTCTTATTAAACGAGCACAGTTACAGCAAAATGATTTTTCTAACAAATCTTATCAGTAAGATTTGTGGCCATCTCTTACTTATTTATAGATTACCCTGAATGACAGAAAGAAAATGCATGTTTTGTGTGCAGCTCTGTCCCCGGTGTTTTGTCTTTTTTAAACCAGCAGGTGCTTTCTGGGGTTTATAGGCATCTTTCATCAGGAGAAATATTTGAACAAAATCGGTTCTTCCAAGAATTGAGCTCTCCTGGCTCCTCTCTGTAAAGGAAGTCAACTGGCCTCTGAACTTGCCTAACTCTCAAACAGGGCTTGGTATTTTTAGCTTTGATTTTTCAGATAAAACTTCAAAGTGAAGCTTGGGGAGAAAATGGCTCCTCATGAGCAAAGCCAACAGAAAAATACCTGAACCTCTCTGAGTCAGTCACAGACCTAAAGAAACCACTCTAGAAAGGAATCCTTTAAAGAATAAAATCACGAGTCTATAAACATTCTGGCTCTCAGTAATAACCTGCTTTCATGGCCAAATCAATACAACGAATCTGTGTCTAAGGCACAGTGAAAATTAGATACTACGTTTAATCTGAATCCAGTGAGCAGATGATGCCAAAACCCAGACCACCCATTTATATCAGTATTTCCTAAACCTTGTTGTTTAGAACATCACATGGCATGTTAATACATGTTCCTCAAAGAAAGGAGTTCATGATAAAATCAATATTTTAAAAAAAGATGCTATTGCCAAAACAAGACCACCCTGGTGGGTCACAGCCATGAACACAGTAAAGGCCCCCAGGGGTTCCTCCAAATGTTTCATTGTAACCCAGAATCTCCCAAACTCATTTTAGGCAGTACCTTTTGGATAATATCCTGCAAGTTGAGTGTAGAAGGGTTGGTCTATGTTCAGTAGCTACCAAAGCAATTATCTACTTTTTTCATATTTCTGGGTTTTGCACAAGCATGGTCTTACTGGCTTGGCCAAAATATTCTAAATTAATCAATTCTTCTACAGTCAGAGTCCATTTCAGTCCAAATTTCTTAAGTCTGTATTTCATGTAAAACACTTGGATTCTAAACAAGTAATACAGGTCAAAATATTTTGGGCATTCTTATAAACAAATAGATAAGCAAGTGAATACAGTCGTGCAAATACAGTTGAATCTTCATTACCACGAGACAAGGAAATAATAGACTCAGCACTGTCCTGTAATGTGTAACAGTGCCTCTGCAGAATAGCACTGACTTTAAAAGCTGATGCCGGAGAACTTTGAAAGTCATCCCCCAAAACGGGTGATCTGAACAAAGTTAAGAGCTATTGTGAGATACTGACTCACTTGCAATAGAATTTAAAATTGAACCAAACATTATAACATGAGGAAAAAAATGCAATGCTAGGAATGGTGCATGAAAGTATACTCTTAAAAAAAAAACTGGAGTCATGTCCTTGAGATTACTTTTCAAAGTGGTGAGTTCTGTATACAAACATTTGTAATGATATCATGCCAGCCCATGGCACCTTAATTCATGAGTACACTGCAGACCAAATGATATCCTTCCAAATTACATTTAACCAGAAGTCTACAAAGTCATAATTAGCCTATACAAGGTGATTTGTCTATACCTCACTGCCAGTTCTTTTAAGGCACTCCGTAGATATAAAAACGGCCTTTAAAATACAGTGGGCAGCTGTCAGTCTTTAAGTCTGCTCTAAAAGATACTTTACCAAAACATGGCCTATTGTATCTATTATGATACATACAGAGCACACATTTTAGATTCATTTCTCTCCCCATCTCCACCCCTTGCATGTGTTCCTAATCTTTCTGTGATTACCGGTGTAGGGCTTAAACTTCTTTAACTTATTAAATACGGACTGGATGGAGGAAGTTATTGGACCTGAAGAGCATCAGCCTCTTTCTCCCTGTCATCACTGCTGCTAACTAGTGCCCAGGTCCCCAGAGTGGCATAAAGTCCCAGAAGATGCCCCTGGAAGAGCAAATCACACACAGACAGCCTTGACCTTCTGCTGGGGGTGTGCCCTGGAGGTGACACACAGCATAGTACTGCTGACCGGCGGTCCCCACTGCTAGTCGTATGACAAGATCACAAGGTCACAAGCTGTTCCTATCAAGGGCAGGAAAGATTCTGACATCTGTTTTAGTAGGAGACTTCATTTCTTTTGGCTTCATGTTTCCAAGTGGAAAACCCTTCAACAGAAAAGCACTGTGGCTTCTCCATTCCTCTGCAGGGGAAGAGATATATTTGATTGGTTGTGTTCGGGAGCTACTTTGGGAGAAGTAGTTGAACAAGGTGGTTCAGACCTTTATGATTCCTTCTTTATATCTGGATCATCTTGGCCAAAGAAAGGGGACAGACACTCCAGTCACCTTGGCCAGGCCATATGTGGTCTGTCCCTTCAAGGAGGCCTGAAGTCCTGCCTGGGACTGGATGAGATTCCATATCTAAGTCAGTACTGATACGTTATAAATTGCCCGTTCAAAACCACATTCTCTAATTACACTTCATTAGAAATAAAATTGATTTTTTTCCTTTTTAATTTCAATCTGTCTTGTTTTTCAACTGGTCCTTAATTCAAGATTGGAGGAAAAGAGTGTTACCTGTGGTCTCCTAACATCTTTCCTGCCCCTGCACCCTGACCGTGTCCTCTGCCACCCATGGCTCCCTACCAGCTCCTCCCTGGACTGAGATCAGCCTGGCCTCCTTCCTATCCCCCTTACCAAAGGTCATCTTCAAATGTCTCACTCCCTTAAGAGTCTCATCGCAGTTACACAGCCACTGAATTAACAGAAAAGTTCACACTAGCAGTGGGCTATCTTGCCAGTATATCACCTCTGTCTCTTGGGATTTGCAACCTCTTTGGAAGACACTGATGACCCTTGGCAAATTGCAAAACCAAAAACTGCAATTTGCTCTCCCAACTGAGAAATCCAGTTTTGGTCCAGGCTCCAAAAGACAGGGAGCAGACGTCAGGCTTCTTGACTCCCACATCCTCTCAAGAACAAAAGTTATGGTTTTATACTCTCATTGTCAAAAACATAAAAAAGGAGTTACCTGGAGAGTCAGGCATATTCCTGTATATATTATCATACCTCTTATCCTGGTCTTCTTGGCTCTCGCTTGCTTTGCTTACAGACAGTAGCCTCTTGTCTCGAGGAACCTGAAATCATGACCAACCATTAGTCAGACTTACATAGATGCAACTGTGACCTTGTGCAGAGCTTGCCACCAGCATAAGCAAAGAAAATGAAGTGAGCATTCTCTGGAGAAGGTGGCAGATTTGCAATGGCCAGGAGATGGTTAAAGGTGAGAAGTCTGAGTGGCAATGACAGTGGACCAGACACAAAACGGTGATGATCGATGTAAAGTCACAGCAGTCCTGATTTTGCTGTGCTCTGCCAACATAGGCAGTTATCGCTGGACCTGAGCACCTCTTGAACCCTCCCTACCTTGGCTGGGCATAGATGAGGGGAATCTATGCTCTGGAGCACATGGAAAGCATCCCATTAAGGAACAGAGACTGACCCTCCATTGTGATGAGGGACTCCAGGCTGACATGGAGAGCCCACAGTAGTGGGCTGCACCGTTCAGTGGCGAGGCAACATCTAATACCTGGGCCACCTTTACCCACCCTCCCTACATAGCTCACCGCCTGCCTCCCACCCTTCTTCTTCTAACGCACTTTTATTATGGACTTCACAACTACAATGCCAACACATTACCTGAAAGATTATTGAAAAAGCGCTACTTGAGAGAAGGGACACCCCTTCCAGCTGTGTTTCTGACCATCATCTAATCACCCGACGGCACTAGGATCGCTTATCTATCTCTACCACAGTTCTCAAATACATGAATAGTGGGTTTAGATTTGTCTGGCTGGTTGCATGTTTTGGATTTTTTTGTTTTTCAATTTTGTTTTTTCCCTAAATCTCCAGATCTTCCTTCCAGCCACACACCTTTGCACTGAAAACGCATCCTGCACTATTTTGACATAAAAGAGGGTTTATGAGAAGTCTCTCTTTTCTGAACTCCTCTTGCAATCCTCATGGATGGCTTCCACTCACCCAAATGTGTCTGCAAGCCCAGCCAGCTGGGCAAGGGACGCGACACAGCAGGGTGGCTGAGAGTCTAGACCTCGACCTGATCGTTTGGGTTCAAATCTCAGCTCTACCACGAACTAACTCTGCCTCAGTTTCCTCAGCTATAAAAAAAGGAATCGTGGTAGTTCTATACCTCACAGGGTGTTTAGTAAAATTAGAAGAGACAATTTTTTAAAAGCACTTAGTGTGGAAATTTATAAGCATTTGTTAAATAAAAGTAAAGTAAATCAATTTTAAGCCCTTCTTCACATGTCAATGTGAGGGTCTACAGAGTAGCAGCATTACTGCATGTTAAACAAGAAATGAAATGAATAAAACAAAACTCCTATCATCTCCTGAAGATGACAGATAATCACAAAATTTTAATACCAAGCACATCCATGTTCATAGCAGCATTATTCACAATAGCCAAAAGGTGGAAATGACTCAAATGTCCATCTAACAGATGAATGAATAAACAAAATGTATTATATATATATATATGTACACACACACAATGAAATATTATTCAGTCTTAAAGATGAAATTCTGATACATGCTGTAATATGAATGAGTCTTAAAGACATCACACTAAATCCCATGTGACTCAGATCCATCCTCTTCCCTGTGCAGGCCGGCCCCCGGGCTCAGCCCCCCACCTCTTTTGCCTGGGCTACTGCATCCGCTTAACTGGTCTCTCCTCTCTTGCACTTAGTCCCTGCAAATCCATTCTGGCTCCATTAAGAAGAACCAGAGTGATCTTTCAGTCTGACCCCACCATGCCTGCAGATTTGCTCCCATCTGGGCCACCCGGAACCATGCTTACTTTTGGCTTCCCAAAGACTGTCCTTCTTAGAGAAGCTGAGATCTCTGAACTCAGGCCCCTTCTTTGAGTCTAGACTCACCACCATACATCCCTACCTAAACATCCTACAGTAAGCACTTCAAACTCAACATACAATTATCCTTTTCCGCAAAGCCCTTCTTCTGTACTCCGCCTTGGTTAATCTGAGAATCAGCTGAGCTATTGTGATCCTAGTTATAGGGTTCTCTCATCAAATCTCTCTCTCTCTCTCACACACACACACACACACACACACACACACACAAACAGAATCAGTTGACAACTTTTATTCCAACAAATACTCAACGATCTCTTGAACATACTGCTTTGTTTCTGCGTTGCATGACTGACTAAATAGAGTGGCTGATTTAGGAAGAACCTCACAAATGCTGACCCAGGGAACAGTTACCATTAGATCTTACTTTAGGGTTTCATTCTTTTTTGTCTGGACAATCGCAACAACCTGTTCACTGGATTCTCTGCTCATAATCCATCTCCCTGCTGCTGCTGTTGCTGCAACATGTGTAAATCATTTCTCCAATCTAGCAGGCCAATGTTCAAAATCCTTCAGTAATAGAGAAAATGATGTCAAAGAATAATAGAGAAATTACAGGAAATTTCATTTTCTTTAAGCTTCTATCCATTTTCTTTAATGTATATAAACAGAAAACAAAAGGCTTTATTTTTAAATTAAAAATAGAAAGATTTCTTTCAAAAATTTCTACAGCTTATGAATATTTATTAAATCATTTATTCACTCATTCATCTAGCAAAAAACAAGGCCATGTGCCTAACCCTGCACTCCCTCTTGGGGGAATAAAGCCCAGCCCACCAGCCTGGTCACTTCCAGAAGGGGTCGCTGCCTTCCTAACCAACCTTGCCTGCCCTCCCCCTTGCTCACTCCCACAGTTCAGCAAGGCTGATTCCTTGGATTTCACTGAATGCATCCTGGAGTTTGACCTCCCACGTTTTCTCATATCCTGTTTGCTTTGCCTAAAATGCTCCTTCTCCGTATGCCTACCTGAAAAACTCTCCTCTGCTTCCCTGTAGAATAGGCACTGCTTCCCATCTCTTATGTCTCCTGCATTGGCAGGCTTTACCGCTAGCACCACCAGCTGCAGTCCATGGGGTCTCAAAGAGTCGGACATGACTGAGCGACTGAGCACGATTCTGGAAAACCTGGAGCTCTCTGGAAGGCTGGCACACCCTCCTCACTGCACCTGGGGCACGGCACTTTCATAGTATTTACTGCCATGCACTGTGGTTATAGGTTTATGGGACTGTTACAGACATCCTGGACTGTGACCTCACTAAGGTCTTAAAGTGGGTCCCATCTGCCTTGGATACTCAACCCACCCCCCTAATATCTACACCATTGCTGGAAGGTCATGGTGAATTAGCATTTGTTGGATGGATGGATGAATAAATGTATGACCAATTGGTTAGACAAACAAACAAACATCTTGGTTTCCAGCAGCACCAGGTCAACAGAATAGAGAGGAACCAACTGGCCAGGGAAGAATATTTTCACCAGAGCTAGAATCAGACGATTATGAATCACCAGCTTCTTCAGGGGAAAAGTAAAGTAAGCTAAAGTAAATCAAACCACATAAAATTAACAAATGAAATCTGTCATATTTTTCTGTCATGGCTGAAATTAATCAAAAGGTCACAATTGATTTCAGAGCTGTTGTTGGTGAGTAGCTTGAACCGAATAGAACTAGGCTAGTGTCTGAGTCTTTAAATTACAACAAATTCTAGCATTTTGGTTAATTTTATAGATTTCATCTAAACTCCAAATACATATCTTAAAGTTTTAAGCCTATTTTCAAATGGATTCCATTAAAGCATTTTTTAAACAGGGTTGAGTGTTATGGACTGAATTGTATGCCTCCAATGTTTGTATGTTAAAACCCTAATCTCCAATGTGACTATACTTGGAGACAGGGCCTTTAAAAGGAGATGGTTAAGATTAAATGGGGCTTCCCAGGTGGCACTACTGGTAAAGAACCCACCTGCCAATGCAGGGGGCACAAGAGACGTGGGTTTGATCCCTGTGTCAGGAAGATCCCCTGGGGCAGGAAATGACAAACCACTCCAGTATTCTTGCCTGGGAAATCCCATGGACAGAGGAGCCTGGGGGGCTACAGTCCACGGGGCTACTTAGTTGGACACAACTGAGCGACTGAGCACCTAAGGTTAAATGAGTTTCTAAAGGTGGGGCCCTAATCCTAGAGGACTGACACCCTTCTAGGAAGAGGAAGAGATGCCAGGAGCGTGTGAGCACAGAGGAAATGCCACGTGAGGCCACAGCAAGAAGGGAGCCATCTGCAAGATGGGAAGGAAGCGAGGCCTTGCCAGAAACCAACGCTGTCAGCACCTTGGTCTTAGACTTCAGTCTCCGGAACTGTAAGAAAGTAAATCTCTGTTGTTTAAGGCCCCCAGTCTGTGACAATCTGTCACAACAGCCCAAGAAAACTAACTGAGACAGCCTCATGACATAGATATTGGGCATGTACAGGATTGCCCTGGGACCTCTGTAAATTCCACTTAGTTGCCTGAGCTGAAAATAAAAGACCTGATTGGATTCACTCCAGTGATCCTGTGGGGACAGGTTTAAAATACAGGTGGAAAGACTGTAGTGGCTGAAGTATTACACGAAGGTACACTCGTGCAGTTTCCAAGGACAGAGACCACCGTTGCTTTTGAGTGTCTGCTGCGTGTCACACACATTCCTCTCTCTACTGTCCAGAGAGGTAATGTACTGCAACCTCAGCAGTGAGGGGAAAATGGTATGTTTCACAAAAAGAATCGATTATTTCCAAAGAGGCATAAAAAGTCTACAGAATTTAAATGATACTGCGGTAGCAATTGCTACAGTAATCTGACTTCCGTAAGTTTATATTCAAAAAAATAGAATTTCTAATTTTTTTTCCATTAACATTTTACTTAACTACAGAAAGAAAGTCCATTCTCAAAATAGATTTAACTTTGTTATAACTTTACTACCAACATACACAAACTGTAAATAAGAGAGGGCTGAGTGAGGCCTGAAAATGATCATTTGCACACAGAGTTTTTAAAAACAAGGCTAATTCTTTAATGTTTAAAATTTCAAGCAAAAATATAGTGAAGCTTGTGGGAAATAAATGAGCTATGTAACTGTGCTAGTCCACACAGTCTTAGAAAACATTTTATTGGAATATTTTATATCCTAAATTAATAAATTAATCTTGGAAAATACAAATTCAACAGTAGGAGTTTAGACTTGTTTATAGATTGAGGGGTTTTTTTGGGGGGGGGTGGGAGCAAGTAGTGATGACTATTTACTTATTTATTTGAGGTCTGGTTGATGTACAATGTTATATAAGTTTCAGGTGTACAAAATAGTAATTTCCAGTTTCTAAAGATTATATCACATTTAGTTATTATAAAATATTGGTGATATTCCCTGTGTTGTACAATTTATCTTTGTAGCTTGTTTATTTTATACATAGTAGTTTGTAACTTTTAATCCCCACCCCAAACTTGCCCCTCCTCTCTTCCATCTCCCCACTGGTAACTACCAATTTGTTCTCTATATCTGAGTATGTTTCTTTTTTGTTATATTCACTGGTGTGTTTTTATTTTTTATATTTCACATGTAAGTTACATTATATAGCATTTATCTTTCTTTGACATTTCACTAAATATAATATCCTCTGAGTCCATCCACGTTGTTACAAATGGCAAGTTTTCATTTTTTATGACTGACTAGTATTCCACTGTGTATGTGTGTGTGCACACACACACATACACACCACATCTTTATCCACCCATTGATGGAAACTTAGGTTGCTTCTATATCTTAGCAATTGTCAATAATGTTGCTATGAACAGTGAGGTACACATATCTTTGTGAATTAGTGTTTTGGGTTTTTTCTAATATATATCTGAGAGTGGAATTGCAGGGTCATATAGTAGTTCTATTCTTAGTTTTTTGAGACACCTCTGTTTTCCAGTTGTTGAAACAATTTACATTCCCACCAACAGCGTAGGAGGGTTCCATTTTCTCCATATCCTCAAACTGAGTTTTATGTAAACTCCCTACTCTGTATCTTAAAATATTTATGAAAGCAGAATTTCAACTGTTAATAATGTACAAAAGGAGAGGTAATCTAGGTACCATATTTACTAATACTTTATCCTTTGAACCTATGGGAAATTAAATTCTTTTCTAAATTACTAATGAGTTTTGTTTCAAGGTATATTTCTCTTTTTCATTAATATGAAAGAACTGTCATCTAATAAAGATACCTGAAATTATGTCCATTTCACAGTAATGGAACAAAATCTGTTTTTAAAAAATAAGAACAATGTTTCTTCAAAATTGTCTTAATGTATTTCTTCATAATCTTGTAAAACTATTACTAACATATTTGCTTAATGAAATTATAAAGCTTACCAAAAAGTTTTCATGACCCAAGTGATTAAATCATAGTCACTTTAATGATATGTTACCAGATTTTAAAGATTAATGAGTGTCAAGCTTAACTATTCTTTATAATAAATAAAAATTGCTTTGCGATTTCTTTCAAGGGATTAGATCGAGATCATTTCCAAACATTAAGTATTAACACAAAAGTCTAATAAATCTAAACCCTCAAGAAATAGCCTAGAACATGAAACAGTCTAACATGATAAGTTCTATACCATCCTCAATACATTTGGGGTGAAAATGTTCACCCCAAAACGTTTAGAAGTCATCCTTGTGTTTCTCAACTTAGCTTCTCAGTCAAAAAGGATTAAAATATATAAAACAACCACAAACAAAAGAAGAAAAGAAAGCCTGCTGAGAAACCATCTTTGTTTTCCAGGCTCAGTTCTTTTCAGGTGCTTCCTGTTCATTGTAGGAAACTGTCCTACTTACATGAAATGGAGATTAGACCCTACATCCTTTCATGTGGACCCCAGGTCCCAAAGTTAAAGCCCCTTTTTGCTAGGTCAGGAGTCATGTTGGGAATTGTATACCTTCACAAGAGAGCTGTGAAATCTGCCAATTCCAGTTCTCTTAGTAAGGGGGAAAAGTCAACCTAGACTGCAAGGGTACAAACGGAATGCCTTTCCATTATTTCTCCAGCACTTTCTAGCCATAAGATACATTTATTTGAGTCAATAACATCCTCATTTAAAATAGCCTGGATGGGCCAACCTATCAGTTACTCATAATACCTTGTATCAGGTTGGCCGAAATGTTTGTTCGTACCAGCTTATGGAAAAACTCGAACCAACTTTTTGGCCAACCCAATATCTCATCTTTGATAAGCACAACTTGGGGCTTCCCTGGTGTCTCAGATGGTAAAAAATCTGCCTGCAGTGTAGGAGACCCACCCGGATTTGATCCCTGGGTCGGGAAGATCCCCTGGAGAAGGGAATGGCAACCCATTCTAGTATTCTTACCTGGAAAATTCCATGAACAGCAGAGCCTGGCAGGTTACAGTCCATAAGGTCGCATAGAGTCACACCACTGAGAGACTAAGAAGCGCAACTGGGCTTGGCTTTACTTTCTCACCCCACAGAGGGAGCCCTCCTTAGCGTTTTAATAGAGAAAGTTAGAGGAAGCTGAAAAAGCAATGAATAATTTTAGAGAAGGTGGGTCAAAGAGTAGGCTTGGGGGTGGTCGGTCAGTGCCAGAGTTGGTACTGGTGTTGGTGTTGGTGGGAGATCCTTGGAAAGCATGAAAACTCTGGTTTAGGAGAGACACAAGAGACAGCACAGCTTGCACTGGTGAAGACTGCTGGAAGGAAATAGGAACTGGGAGGCAGGAAGGAAGTAGGAAACCGAGACTGACACTCGACTCAAACAAAAACTCCTCTTGTGTGATTTTCTCATGGCAGAGGGAGCCGGCAAGAGGAGGATTTAGTTCTTATTCTAAAGAGTTGCGCCCAACCAGCAAAATAAACACAGCCATTTTCACCTTTGTGCCAATCCCAACATAAGCCCAGGTGTTTACAATCAAATCAGGCAATAAATATCCTCAATCAGTAAATACTTGTTGACTTTTTACACTTTACTGGTTCTAAGGAAGCAGGTCATACCAGATATAGTCCTTTACAGAAGAGACAGACCAATGTTTGTTGTTTGCTTTCCTGAAATACTCTTGTTTTGAAGCTACCTGTGACAAGTATTTTTGTAATGCAAGTAAATTACATTCATTTTGTTTTAAGGGTTTTTCAAAATAAATACTGAGTGCCCAGTGAAACAAAGGGAGACAGATTTTGGAATTGCTGCAAAAGTCTACCATAAAAGCATTCATTGGTATATTTCTTACTAAAGTGAAAAATCTAGAAATCCTGATGTTTCTTATAAAATAGAATATCTAAAAGCAAACTAGGGAGTTGCCTGGCACTCCAGCAGTTAGGACTTGGCACTTTTACTGCTGCTTTCACTGCCATGGGACTGGCTTCAGTCCCTGGTTGGGGAACCAAGATCCTGCACATTACAGGGTTTGGCCAAAAAATAAATAAATAAAAATATAAAGGGTCTCATTATTTCATTTATTGATTTCATTATATTAATTTATTTATTTTTGGCTGCACCATGCAGCATGTGGGATCTTAGTTCCCCAACCAGGCATGGAACCCACTCCCCCTGCAATGGAAGCAGAGAGTCTTAACCACTGATCGCCAAGGAAGTCCCACATTACTTAATTTTAAAATAATAATAAAATAAAATAAGAAATAAAAGCAACTTCAATGCCCCAAAACAGCAATGACTAAATTACGGTACAGCCACACAGTGCAATATTCCTTATTCACCAAAAATCATCAAGTAAAAACGGCAGCAAAGAAGTACTGCAATATGATATGAAGTAGGAATTAAATGTGAAAGTCCCTCAGTTGTGTCCGACTCTTTGCAACCCATGGACTATACAGTTCATGGAATTCTCCAAGTCAGAACACTTAAGTGGGTAGCCGTTCCCTTCTGCAGGGGATCTTCCCAACCCAGGGATCGAACCCATGTCTCCTGCATTGCAGGAGGATTCTTTACCAGTTGAGCCACAAGGGCAGCCCAAGAACACTGGAGCGGGTAGCCTATCCCTTCTCCAGTGGATCTTCCCCACCCAGGAATCAAACCCAGGTCTCCGGCCTTGCAGGCATTAAACGTAGATACTATGTACGCTCGTAAACAGGGGGCACAGAAGCAAGTATCCGAAAAGGAAAACTCCCTCTGGGCAAGGGTGAAGTTGGGCTTCACAGACGGGAAAGCAGGGAAGCACTGAGACAAGAAGAGGCTGAGTTCCACGGTGAGTGTGGGAATCCCTCAGTTCTCTGGCCGGGGACCAGGCGCGTGTGCTCTCTGCCCACAAAGAGGGGCGGCCGGGGGCCGAGGGCGGAGGGCGCGGGGCCGCGCGGCCTACCTTGTAGTAGTCGTACAGAAGGCCCAGCGCGGCCGCGCTGTCCTCGTCGCCGTTGATGCTCATCATTGCCTTGGTGGCCGCCGTCAGGGGGTTCTCCAAATACGACTTCCAGGCCTCATCCTCACTCGTGTAGGCTCTTCGGGTGTTAAATGGAGGGTCACTGGGCATGGGCACTAAGGCCACCAGTCGTTTATTGCTGCGAAAGCAAGAGAAATGCTAGGTTCATGATCAGAGAAGTGTTCTTTTCCCACTAAATATGCACATGGAATAAAAATATGCACGTGATTTGGTTCACTGTACTTCCCCAGAGTGGATGAGAAGGAAGATTAATACTAAAGTGATGGCCACGTCACATTGATAAAGCCACTGATTTATTTCTTGACTGTCCAGGAGAGGTAATAATGACCTTTAAGAGGTAGTGTACAAGTAGTTTAAGTTGACTCCCTTCACACTCAGCTTTTCATAACCAATCAGTTCAGGAGCCAAATCATTTTATTTGATTATCCTTCATTAATATATATTAGAATGAAACCCTGGGAGGGAACAGGCTTCATTTAATTCTGTAAGTTCTAGTGTATAAATATGTGCAATACATTAAAAGTAATTGGCATGTCAATGGCAGTTAAAAAACAGTTTTATCTAGTGTAATTTATACTGTAACTGCTAGCGAATTATAGACCAATCCAAGTCCTTTAATTTAAAAGGCAATAGAAGCTACAGAAACAAAGCACAAGGCGTTCTGCAGATATGATGCATCATACGGATGTGAAGCAACAGGAAAGAGATGAACTCTGTACATGAGTCCTGTGTTCCATGGGATCCTACTATATTTAAAGGACATCGAAGCTACAGATCATAAAAGATCATCATGGAGGGTGAGGAGGGCACCCGAAGAATCTTCAGCAGACAAGAGGGGCTGGAGTTGTTTGTCAGTCCTAACCAAGCCAAACTCAGGTAAAGCAGCAAATGACCATCACAGCAATTTCTTAAGGATTCAATAATAGCTCAAGTACCTGGTGGCTCAGATGGTAAAGAATCCACCTGCAGTGCAGGTGACTCACCTGGGGTTGATCCCTAGGTTAGGAAGAGCCCCTGGAGAAAGGAATGGCTACCCACTCCAGTATTCTTGCCTGGATAATTCCATGGATAGAGGAACCTGGCGGGCTATATTCCACGGGGTCGCAAAGAGTTGAACACAACTGAGTGACTTTCACTTTCACCCCTAAACCACCGCAGTCCTCAGCAGCACACCCCAGACTTGTTCATTGAAATGAAATCAGAAAGTAACAATGAGACATTGTATTTCAGTAACACCTGGGTCTACTTGGGGTAACGTGACACAGACAAATGGCATGATTGCAAAGGCAGCATGTATGCCGATCAGTGGAAAGTCATCCAGCAAGAGCCTTCCGGTGGTCATTCAGTAAAGACAAACCTTTTTGCTTATATTCCTGCAGGGCCCTCTAACGGTAGATGGTCTCCCAGCTCACTTTGTGGTGGAAAACTGGTGTGAACTCACAACAAAGGCTGTGCTGAGGGCCCTTTGTGGAGGCATGGTGTCATGCATCAGTGGAGGGTTGGAAAATGACATTGGTAACATATATGGGGGAGGAGGGGAAGCTGCATTGAGCAGAGTGGAATTTTAGATGGTCTCCAAATTTTAGATAGTTTGAACTCTTAGTGCCAGTGGCTTGGTAGAACTGATTGGGAGGAAAGAGAAAATAATGACCCCCAACTGTACACGAATTGAATTAAAAGGGTAAAAACCAAGTTTCTGGAAGTAAACAGGAAAACCCTGGTGGAAGGCCTTTCTAACCATTCGGCTGTGTGGTGACACGGAGCAGCACAGGCTCTGGAAGTGATCTCTGTTCACTGTTTACAGAGGAGGAACACTGCCCAAGGTTTCTTCCTGCCTTACATAAAGGCAGCACCATTTTTAGTTTCTTAAGGAAACTCCATACTGTTTTTTCCTTAGTCAAGTGGGTGAGTGAAAGTCACTCAGACATGTCTGACTCTTTGTGACCCCATGGACTGTACAATCCATGCAATTCTCCAGATGAGAATATCAGAGTGGGCAGCCTTTCCCTTCTCCAGGGGATCTTCCCAATCCAGGGATCAAATCCAGGTCTCCCACACTGCAGGAGGATTCTTTACCATCTGAGCCACCAGGGAAGCCCAAGAATACTGGAGTGGGTAGCCTATCCGTTCTCCAGCGGATTTTCCCGACCCAGGAATCGAACCGGGATCTCCTGCATTGCAGGCGGATTCTTTACCAACTGAGCTACCTGGGGAGCCCTTTTTCCTTAGTAGCTGCACCAATTTACATTCTCACCAAGGGTGTAGGAGGGTTCCCTTCTCTCCACACCCTCTCCAGCATCTATTGCTTCTGGATTTTTTGATGACAGCCATTCTGACTGATGTGAATGGATAACCAACAAGGACTTACTGTATAGCACAGGGAACTCTGCTTAATATCATGGAACAACCTAATTGGGGAAAGAATTTGAAAAAGGATACATGGATAAGTGAATCACTTTGTGGTACAGCTGACACTAACACAACATTGTTAATCAACTCTACTCCAGTAAAAAACAAAAAGTTAAAACACAAAGCACTGCAATGCCTACCCTACTAACCTCACAGTATGACTGTGAGAACTCAAATAGTGGATAAAACAAGTGTGAACTGAACAACAATGACAAGTATTAGTCTCATGGCACAGTTCTATATTCCTAGAAAGTTTGAGGGCATAGCAACTTTTGGTTATAACGTAGAAGTGCTAAAGGTAGTCATTAATTAAGGGAGTCTGAAGTTGTTCACTTAGCTATTTTCCATAAGAGCCCAACAGACACCAAATTATCATGCTATATATGGAGGGTGTGATGGCAAAGGACATGGGCATGCCCTGTAGCCCACGTAGCCTGCAATCCAGGAAGGGAAAGCAAACACCAGTGTTACATGCGTGATGAGCGTGAGAAATGAACAGTGTCATGAGTGAGGGTTTATGACAGAGGGGACTAACCTAGCCAGAGGATCCAGGAGGAAGCAAAGTTCCCACAAAGACCTGAAGGAAAGGCAGGAGAGTGCTGGTCAGTGGTGAAATGGGCAGATGTGGGAAATACTTTTTTAAGTGAAAAATGTATTGGTAATGCAAAACAATGGGATTTTCTGACAAAAGGAGCACATTTGTATTCATTTTGGAAAGTCCAAGAAATTTACATATTTTATATACAATGGTGTATTAGTCATTTAAAAAAAAGAATGAAATAATGCCATCTGCAGCAACATAGATGGACCTAGAGACTGTCATACTAAGTGAAGTAGATCAGAGAAAGACAAATACCATATGATATCCCTTATGTGTGGAATCTAAATTATGACACAAATGAACTTATCTACAAAAGCAGAAACAGACTCACAGACATAGAGAACAGACTTGTGATTGCTAATGGCAGGTGAGGTGGGAGAGGGATAGGGTGGGAGTTTGGAGTTAGCAATCCAAACTAGTACATCAGTTCAGTTCAGTCACTCAGTCGTGTCCGACTCTTTGCAACCCCATGAACCGCAGCACGCCAGGCCTCCCTGTCCATCACCAACTCCCGGAGCCCACCCAAACACCTGTCCATTGAGTAGGTGATGCCATCCATCTCATCCTCTGTCATCCCCTTCTCCTCCTGCCCTCAATCTTTCCCAGCATCAGGGTCTTTTCAAATCAGTCAGCTCTTCACATGAGGTGGCCAGAATATTGGAGTTTCAGCTTCAACATCAGTCCTTCCAATGAGCACCCAGCACTGATCTCCTTTAGGATGGACTGGTTGGATCTCCTTGCAGTCCAAGGGACTCTCAAGACTCTTCTCCAACACCACAATTCAAAAGCATCAATTTTTCAGCGCTCAGCTTTCTTCACAGTCCAACTCTCACATCCATACACGACCACTGGAAAACCATAGCCTTGACTAGATGGACCTTTGTTGGCAAAGTAATGTCTCTGCTCTTTAATATGCTGTCTAGGCTGGTCAGAACTTTCCTTCCAAGGAGTAAGTGTCTTTTACTTTCATGGCTGCAGTCACCATCTGCAGTGACTTTGGAGCCCAGAAAAATAAAGTCAGCCATTGTTTCCACTGTTTCCCCATCTATCTGCCATGAAGTGATGGGACCGGATGCCATGATCTTAGTTTTCTGAATGTTGAGGTTTAAGCCAACTTTTTCACCCTCCTCTTTCACTTTCATCAAGAGGCTCTTTAGTTCTTCACTTTCTGCCATAAGGGTGGTGTTATCTGCATATCTGAGGCTATTGATATTTCTCCCAACACATAGAGAACGGCTAAACACCAAAGCCCTACTGGATAGCACAGGGACCTATACTCAAAATCTTGTGATAAACCATAATGGGAAAGGATATAAAAAAAGAATGCATACATATATGTATAATTGAATCTCTTCACTGTGCAGCAGAAATTAATACATCATAAATCAACTACTCTTCAATGTAAAAAAAAAAATTACAGATTTTGATTTAACAGTAAAACAGCATTTCCATGTTGTGGACATTACTAATCACAGAGGACAGAGTTGGATTTAGAGACAGAATTTTGGTGGACTGCTAAGGGTCTGTAAGTGGGAGAAGTGAAGTCTCTGGGAGGACCAAGAAGACAGTGCCAGTGGGCCACATGGGGCAGTGCCATGACCACCCCTCCCAGTCACTTAGTAGAAGCCACCCTGGGGGCTGGTCTGCAGCCTTCACTTAGAGGGCAGAATAGAGGAATCGGAACCCTAATTGCTGCCCAGGAGTGCCCACGTATCATGTATACTTCCTCAAATCATCCGGCAGGAAGGAAGAGCTTTAGGTTATTCGTAGTGACCTCACCATTGGAAAAGATGGGGATTTGACTCTCCTTACTTAACAAAGGCTGGGAGGCGGGGTGGGGGTGGGTTGGGGGTGGAGTGTTAATTACAACACTGGCTAATTTCCAAAATTCAGCAGGAAGCACCAGGGTGAAGGATAAGAGCCAACTCTTGATTTACACTAAGTTGCGTCCTCATTCACTGGAGAGATTTTTTTCCTTGAGTCTTCCTTCTTCTCCTTCCTGCTGAGTCTCCTGGATTGCTGATTTCATATGTTCCCAGCGCAAACGTTCACTCGTAAATCTAGATTCATCAGCTTTTCT